GTTAAAATTGAAATTCCAATATGTAAATAGAAATTCCATTCTTTTTTAAACATTTATAATGATAGTAATTTCATATCAGATAGATTAAACTGCTTTTAAAATTTATTAGACGTATCTTTAATTATTAAAATTTAATAACATCCTAACTACACTTACATTTTAGTTAATTTCGAGTAAATTTTTTAAATATAAATTTAATGTATGGTTTAATCTAAAATAATATTTAAAAAAAAACAGAAAAATTTCAATTAAGATAAAGGATGCTCATTAATTTTTCTCTCAATGAAAAATTGCTTCCTAATTTGTCAGAAAATCAATTAAAAGCTCCTTCATAAGAAAGAGAGTAATAATGTTCTATATACACTCTTTGAAAAAAGTAAAGTATCCTCTAATTTTAGTTCAATGAAAATTTAATTAAACGTTAATAATAGTTCCAAAAATTAAATCAAGATATACATTTCACTACTCAGTTTTTGCTCATATAATTGTATCAGTTTAAATTAGTTTGATTGTATAATATAACGTTTTTAATGAAAACGATCCTTTGTATTACGAGCAAATATAAATTAGAAGAATTTAATAGTTGACAATGCTTCCGTAATATCGGATTGTACAACATTGATGCAGTCCACAAGTTCAAAAAATGTTTCCAAAATATCCATCTTTAATCGTCACTAGCCCGTAAATTCGGTCGATCATCGTATTGCTCATTATTGAAACATTTATCGCCGAAATCGCTCAACCGAACGCGCATTTTTAAGAATTGCAACCATTAATCGCTCTCATATATTCCATTAAGCGTGTCGATTACGTATTCTCACTGGATTCGAAATCCAAAATTTCGGATTATTCCGCGATTTTCCTGTCGGTTTAACGCTCGCTCGTTGAAACAGGATTTTTTACGATAAATACTTAACTATACGCTTCCTAAGTTCCCATGATGCGATCGGCGATCAGTAGTATCTCCAGGACCTAATTATCGATTACAAATAATTCGCTATCGCGAATGATCAGACTTGCTTTTGTCTCTAATAAACTAAGAAAGAACGGGAACATCACAGTCGTATAGAGGATGTACAGTAATAAGTCTGCCCGTAATGTATCTGTGAAGGCGAATTTTTCCTACGTATGACTTTCGAGCGATACATGGACAGACGACTTGACTTACGAGATGCCTTAAGAGATTCGTTTTCTCCGCGAGAAAAGAAAAATAATATCTATCGAACGAGTAAAGTCAGGTATAAATAAATGGTAAATAAATTTTCTCTAAAGCTACATTTAGACGAAGCAAACAAGCGTGAACACACACACGAATGAACAGCTGGCTTCATGTAAGTACGAACGAGACGTCGCGAGTTGTTCATTTGTATTTGCTCATGCTCGTTCGCCCATCGTCTGGATCTAGTTTAAAAGAGCACGCGCTTGACTTTTTCTCAGTATTGAAAGAAACGTTGAAAATTAAAATACTTTGTAACTGACGGACTTGCCTTTCAATTTTTAACTTGCGATTAAAGCGGAATTGAAACGCGAGACAAACACAGATCGCGTGCATTTAAAGTACATTTGCTTAAATCGAGACAGTGGCAATGAGCCACGCTTTCGCGTGATAAGTAATCTGCGAAAAAAACAAGAAAATAAAAAAAAAAAGAAAAATTTTTCTCCACAAGGGGAATTCTTCTCGAAAGAATTATCTGTCGACTGTAACTTACCCACGTAGGCTAACAACCGGCAATTTAACCACGCAGCCAATTAATTCTACTTCTCTTGTTTACGGTAACGGGGCTGCGACGAATTCCCGACGAATGATCGTCGTCCGCACGGTCGTTTCTCTTGCACGCTGTTTAGACGACGTAAAAGTATTTTACCGTCGATGCTTTCTCCTCGAGATAGTCAACGTGACGCGGACGAATGGGATAGGATGAGAAAAGGATGCGTGGACAAATTTAAGACTTTGTGTCCCGGGGGATAATAGACTTCAGTAACGCACTCCCTCTCGATGAATTTGTCAACGAGGTCGTCACTTTCTTCGGTAAGCTGAGCTATTGGTGACTGGTGGATGGCTCTCGATCTCGAAGTTGCGGTTCGTTGTAAATTGAGCCAGGACCCGTCCGCGTGGCCGCCTTTTGATGATCGTCTTTTCTTAGTGGGAACTTTTGCCGCCAACGAAGAGACAGCTCGTCAACAACAGCAACAGCAGTAACAATAGCGGAGGTGGAGGCGCGATACCTTTAATGAAAAAACAAGAACGATTTCACGATTACTTTGCGCGCCCGATAATAAAGCTCTCGAATCAACTCTTATGTTTTTTTTTTCTTCTTCTTCTTTCGCAGTTGACCCTCCGGAGTGACTCGCGCGCGAGGTTATCGATCTGCGTCTGGCCTGCATGTAAAACCGCACGCGTGATAACTCATGTTAACGATGGCATAAATAGTAATATACATATCGCACGTTTTGTTCGTGTTTGCTCTACGTGAACTTTTTTTTATTGCCGCGCGTATGCGGAATAGAAAAAAATGCAGCGCGGGGAGCTGTCGCGATGTAGTAAAAATGCCGTAACATTTTTGCAACAGTTGTATCCGTTGTGACAATTTTTACGACCGATATGACGAAACGCGCAAAATTCTCTTTAATAATTTTTACAAACGAAAAAGAATATTCTAGATTTCTCGAGCGATATACGTAAAAGGAAATTAATGTTTTTCTTTTTCTTTCCTACAGGAAATATCTCGAGCTTTCTCATCGCTTCTCATCCCATTCTCCCATTTCACAACTGTTATACTTTTGTCAAATTTGACGATAACGATTGTTCACCAACTGATAACAGATCTTGTTACGCCGCTTTGTTCATTATGCAATCTCACGTTGGCTCCTACGGACAAATATTGCAAAACTCGATAGAATCTAGAATATTGAAACCGCTGTTACATAATATCGCGCCTTGCGAATAGTGAAAGTAGAGCACGACATTATCGTTGATTTCCTATAAATATGCCGTCATATCCGGTCGAATCCTATTTGCAACTTGTTTCGCGACAATGCTGAGCAATTTTAGTTGAACACCGGTATACCGGAATCGCTGTACCGAAAGTAATTATATTAGTTTAGTCTCATCGAATCAATTTTTAGAGCATCGCGTAACGCATGCGAAAGTTCAATTCTGCTTAATTATAAATAGTGCAATGTACAATACTCATCAAATGAGAAGCAAGCCAAATTATATTACTATTCGAGACTCTCTTGCAAAATTGATCATAGCGAGAAACTTTTTTTTTTGAAGATGGTAGATTGAAAAAAAATAATATAGTTTCAAAGAAGAATTATTATCGATTGGAATCGATTAATAACGTCTGATTAATCGGATCAGTAGAGAACGACGCGGCATTATATCACATGTTTTCGATCATGTACAATCCCGAGTCGAGTTTGCACATTTTTCCATCCTGCAATTGTTACCGTTCTAAAACGGCGTTTAAACGACGGCCAAGCGCTCGAAGATGTATTTCGAGCTATTAAGCCCAGCGGCACCGGGGTGGCTACTCCAACCATCGGGCGTGCAACAATGCTCCAAGTTGTAACAAAAGTTTCACGAATCCGAGGTATTCGACCCCGTTTGCCAACGCGAAACGAGTGAATAACGGGCTTCTCTCCGCGCAATTCGATTTGACGGAACGGGCTAAAGTACACCGCCTTAATTCATTCTGCCTGCGCTACCTTTTCCAGGCCGCTTCTATCCATTTACGTTGCCGCGCGCGCGTGACTTTTCGCCTTCTCGAGAGAACGAGAATGCGAATGAACGGATCTCCGTACAATTCAGAATAGATCCCTTCTACGGAGGTTTTTACCGGCCTCTCTTGTCGGGCTTTCCTTTATGTTACAAAAGACTCAATTATTTTCCGGAATGTCCGTTCGCGTTTTTTTTTTTTTTTTTTTACAATTCGTACATATGTACGAAGGCAAGAAGGAAAAATCAAGAGGAAATAAATGTCATGGAAATTGCTAAGAAAACGTTTAAATAGTCGGAATATAATGATCATAACGTGGTAATAAAACTGTCTAGAGAACATATAAATCAAAATTGTTAAAAGAAACGAGACTTTGTTGAGTTTTCAGAAAACGTATTAATTCTTTGCAGAACTCACATTTAAAAAATTATATTAAGTGTAGAATCCAGTTGAATTTAAATATGTTATACTTTCAGCTGTAATGTTGTATGCGAATCTTTCCTCTTTCAAAGATTTCTTTCTCTCGAACCTTGTATGTCGTATCTTTCAGAAAAAATTAATTATCTGTTTTAATTTATCTGTTATTACAACTGTCTTCTCTCTTGACCGTTTGATACATTTATATCATATTTAAAGTGAATAAAAAAATATTTACGCGATAATGAAAATGCGTAAAACTGCAATTTGTTTTGTAAATATGGAAGGGTATAACAAACGTTTCGCTACAGATGGTGTATCTATTGCAGTTATGTAACTTTACACACCACAGCTCACATTTTTCCATTTCCAATATCCATCGTAAATAATTGTATTACAGAAGCGAGCGAAACGTATAAACTTGGACTTTTAAAAAATTTGCATAGATATGAACTTACACGATGCAAAATAAATTCAATATTATAGTTGAAAACGATGCCACATCGCAATCTTTTAATGACGTGTATCGCGTTTCATATTTTCCATGATTGTATTATTGAGTGATAGATATTGAACTTATAAAATATATATATATATATATATGTATATATATATATATATATATATATATATATATATATATTTGCTGAATGCGAATAATAGAATGGTGTATGGTGAAGGGAATTTTATATATATGCATAAAGATTTACTTGACGAAACAAACTTCTTGTTATACCTTGTTAATCTTTCGAGTTACATGGTATTACGACTGTTTTAAAAAATCAGAAACTATCCGCGCAGATAGCGATAGAGTAGCGTCGTGATATAATTAATTAACTAATTTCACGAAAGCCTCACCGTGCCGTGCCGATCCATTGCTCGCGGGTATCTTCATCGTGTAATTTTCTTCCTCGTCCAGGAACACGTAACTGGCATTAAAGCCCGTGGCATCGAGACGATCGTTACTCTTGAACGTAACGCGGAAAAACTTTCTGTCGCTGTAAACGTCGAATTCTTTCAGCTGACCGCAATGCCTGGGATACTTCCGGTCTCTGATCATATAGTTGGAGAATTCAACATAATCACTGGCTGATACAGCTTCGCACCTGAAAAATTTTATATTATTGGCGATTTCCAGTAAATTTTTGCAAAAGTATTTATTATCGGTGATTCAATTTATCAATTGCCCGCAAAAATTCGACACGCAATATTACAGTTAATACATTGCAGGATTAAGTACATAACAGTCATATAATATAAATTGTAAATTTAGTCGTTATTAATATTGACCATAGAGATAATTTGAGCGACAAACGTAGCAAATAAAGCGTAAACATCGTATGTGTGCGTATATGTGCTTTTAGTTAGAAAAATATAATTTATTTTATGATTTAAATATTTCAAATTAATTGACATTCTTTATTAACATTAACTTTAACATTATATGAATATTTACGTTATGTTGCAAATAATGATTTTTATTGTACATATTGTTTGTAATTAATACTTATTTGTAATCATACACACACACACACACACACACATACACACACACACACACACACACACACACGCGCGCGCGCGCGCCTATATACATATATTTAATCACATTCTCTATAATTAAAAAAAATTTCATATTATTTTATTCTTTCAAATATACAATTATAAAAGTAATAATAACAATATTATTATAAGAATTTTTGATATCGTGATAAAACAT